AAACCGCTTTTATAAATGTCCTTTGACATCATTAAAGTTCTCAAGGTGCTTCACAAGAACAGCACAGAAAATTTGACACCAATTTGACTCCAGTTAGGACTGATAACCAAAAGACGTCAGATTAAGAAACATCTGAGAGCAGGAAAGAGAGGTAGACAAGGTCAGGGAGGAAATTCCGAAACTTAGAGTTTCAGCAACTGAAAGCAAAAGTACCAAAGGCGAGACAATTAGAACTGGATGCACAAGAGACCAGATTTGGAGGAGTTCTGAAATCTCAGAAAGGGCTACAGCATTGTCTATTGTCAGTCCTTTGCATGTTCACTGATTTGCTATGGATTAGTGTTGTATCATGTTCTTGGTAATATTGGTTAATTCAGGAGGAGCTAATTTAGCATCTTCTCCATTAAAGATCCCATTGTCCTCCATCAGGTCTCAACTCCGTGATATGTTTGACACTGTCTGGAGGATCCTGGATTACTAGTCCCATCTCCATCCTTAGCCCCATCAGCACCCAGCATTTATCAATCCCAGGCATTACCACTTACTATAATTGTAATAGGAGTTTAGGGCTCTTGTAGTGTCCCTACCTCTTAGCTAGGAGGCATGGATTCAAGTCTCACTTGCTCCAGAGGTCTGTGATAACATCTCTGAACAGGTTGGTTAAATGAAATCTAACAGCGTTTAACTTCTGACCTGTACCTCTCACACACACACACAAATAGAGAATTTAAAAAATCTGCCTGAAAATAAATAAAGTCTTATTATAGATTGAAATTTAAGTGACACTTTCAATCTCAGCAATTACTTCTTACTATTTTTCTACTAATTCCATCTAACCCACCACTTCTTCCTCAGCCCACTGTACTTCTAATCACGTTTGGGCAATCTTCCACTGTCAAAGCAAATCCAAACTGATGTTATTTGGACTCTGGGCAGCTGCCACATTGTCAACACAGTTTGTGGCCTAAACCAGACTTTTCTTTATTCCTCCTCAACCAGTTCTTCCTCTCCCTAGCAAACCAGTTCAGACCAGTAAACCTAATCTCCATTCCAAATGTTCATCAAGGCTGAGATTCCAGTTTGGGTTTGCTAGCCAAGCATTTTAGCATCAAGTATTATGACTACCATGCTTAAGGAATTTCATAATTGATTTGATGTAATTAAGCCAAACAAATATGTAATCCCAAATAGTATTCTAATGTTTGGCTGAGAAACATACATTGAAATTGTTTCTACATCATAAAGCCTGCATCATACACAATATAAATGCAACAGCTAAAAACTCTGCACGATTTAAAAGCAGCTTAGACAGTAGTGCAAAAGATCAAGAGATACTCCACAAACATTGAATCTACCTGTGTTAAGAAATTCAAACTACCTGTGAAAATGAGAGAATGCTCAGAGTCTCACTTCAAAGATGCTTGCACGTATGAGATGAAGGTCCCATACATCAATTATGGCATCTGGGAGGAAAATTGGGATGCCTCCTGGGGTCTCATGTGCACCACTCATTGATCTCTAACTACAACAACTTGGCAACAAATGCCAACATCAAAAACAACTACTCATAATTCTTTTCAGTCTTTTGCACAGCCATTTGTGGAAGAACCTGCATCTCTAGTTTCGGTCTCAAGGATGTGACAGATGAAGACGTCCAATCTGAAATGGATTGCTTGTTGTGTATCCATCATTTTTTTATAGATGGGATGACGCTGTCATGGAATAATTTAGATCCTTATCCGCATAATCACTAAGCTCGCTGAATCCATCTTTATTGGGAAAGGCTTCCAGCCAAAATTATAATATAATTTACTTTAGAAAAGAAAACCAAATACAACTTCAAAGAGAAATGGCATACACTTTAAGCATAACCAATCAGTAACAGAACGTCAATGTTTTAATTCATTTGTAAGCTGGCTTGTTGTGTAATTAACTCATTGTGACTACAATAACTTTTACAATCAGTCCAACTCCTTAAATGAAAATTATATGCAGCCTTTTAATACATGTTATCTGTACACACAGTTCTGATGAAAGGTCAACAACCCAGAAATACAGGGGTAATTTTTTTAAATCTCAAAATGGGTGAGCTGGTGCCAGGCTAAATGTCACAAAACCTGGTTCCAATCAGACCACTTCAGGTGCACAAAGAACAGGCAGTCAATCAGTTCCCAAGGTATGGATTGGCTATGTTAATACTATTAAAAAAACTTGTGGTGTCAGATTTAACAAGTTTGCAGGTATAACCCTGGGTGCTGGGTCTCACTCCTACAGTACTGTGCACAGATCTGGTCTCCAAGTTTAAGGAAGGTTATAGTTGACTTGTTGGCAGTACATTAGGTTCATTAAATTTGTTACTGGATGAGGGACTTGTTCTATAATGAAGGCAGAATGAATTGTACCAAAAGTCTCTTCGGTTTAGATAAAGGAGAGATGATCCCACTGAAACATTCAAGATTCAGAAATGGCTTGAGGAGGTAGACAGGTTATATCTAGAACA